TCACCTAAGCACAGAGAGAGGAGCAGAGCAATGCATTGCAGCTCGTATGCAGTTCCGCAGAACGATGCTGTGTGTTCCCGAATCTGGCAAAAAGGCAACAGAAACTGCCATCAAGTATTGGGCAGGGACATGGATGTATTTTCAGTCCCGCAAAAGCCCAGTAAGCGCTTGTCTCCATCTTCTTCCATCAATTTTCAGCCAAGCATATGACTGAACAAAGCCTTTTTCTTTTTCTTTTACTCAAAAATGATGCTACCCCTGTTGCTCAGTGGTGACTCAAAACTCAACCCTGTGCTTGCAGTGTATCTGCCCCAGAAAAGGCTTTTTTACAGCTCTCAGTCTCCTGCCATGGTGTACAAAGCTGGGCCGTGACCACTCGTGAACATCTAAAGAGGGGTTTTGCGGTTTAAGTTCCTCACCCAAGGCTCTTTGGGCCAATTCTGCGGTGGCGTAGGAACATCCCAGAGTCTGGGATTCATTTCAGCCTCAGGGACTCCCCAGCGGTACAGAAGTTGGCTGCTCTGCTCCTCGCTGCTCCTGATGCGTGGGCCAAATTACTGGCAGAGACAAGATGAGAGGAGAGGACAGAAGGGGATTTTTTTTTATTTTTGGGTGGGTGGGTTTTTTGCCTATGCACAGCTGGTAAATTTTCCCTGGGTAATTCCAGAGCACACCTCCAACTTCTCTAACCTTCGCCAAGTGTCTGACAGAGCCAGGAAGCCACAGTGGGGTTTCTGGAGGATGCAGAAGCCAGATGCAGCAGGCAAACACCACGTATTTCCCAAGGAGTCAAACACAACATCATAGGCAAGAAGAAAAAAAGACAACCTGGCACTGCAGCACTTCTTCCCTCTTGCTCTGAACTTTGCAGTTCTTCAAGCAACCAAAGTAGAGGGATTGCAGAAGTAGCGTTATAAAACTAAGAAGCTTCAAATGAACAAACAGCCTGTCCTTATTACAGCTCGTATATTAGCGTCCTGCCGCGCCAAGTCTGAGGGCAGCTCCCACAAAGCCTGCCCAGCCGCTGCCGCCGGCCAGCGCGGGTTGTCGTAATTAGAAGCATCGAAACCTCTCGATGCTGCAGAATGTGGGTCGGCACACAACGGCACGGTGCCAGCGCTGGATGGAGGTGTCATCCATCGTGATGTTCCCAGCTCACAGCCCTGGGTAACAACAACTCATGCTATTGCAGTGACTGGACTGCAGCGAGGTGGGAAGAAAGCTAAATATATCCCCCTTTAAGAAGCAACACTCCCCTGCTCTTGTTTAGCATGCATCTGTTCAAAGCCATAGAGAGCCTCTAACTAGAGGAAGAAAAATACAACCTGGCACACCATCCTCAAAACATTCCCAACATGCAACGTACCCACAGCTGCTTATACTGCAGCAGTGTCAGAAGGAGATCTGTTACTGCAGGTGGTCGCATCTATCCCAAGGCACCCTGCTGCTATTGCAGAGACCCAGCAGCGCTGGTCCAGAGAACACCTCCATGAGCAGAGCTCCAGGCTCAGCTCAGAAATCAGGGCATCCAGGCTGAAAATTGTCCCAGTGCAAAATACGCACAAATTGGGAGGACAAAAGGGCCAGAAACTGGTCTTCCAGCCGCTTGCGGGAAGACTAGCCTTGCCTCATCCTCCCAATCAGTCCATAAATAAACAATAAAAAAGAAACAACAACCAAAAAAAACCCCCCTTAACCCTCCTGCTCCTGTTTCTCACAGGTTATAAGCCCAGCAACCTGCCTCTCCATCAGGCATCGGGAAGGGCTGTGGATAGAGCGGCCGCCCCAGCGTGGTCCCCGTGTGCTCGCGGACGGCTTTGACAGGGCTGCGGCTGGAGCTCGGCCACAGCTCGCAAATCTCCCCAGAGCGCGACTGCACCGCAGGACGGAGGAAGAAAAATATCGTGTCGGCAAAGCCTGAGCTGCGCTATCAAAGGAAGCCAAACCAACCGAGCACAGACCCAGCCGCAGACTTTTCTGCCAGCCCGACAGCAGAAGGAATGAAAATGCTTGTGGTCTCTAAGCTGCCTGAGCTGCAGGGCAAGCTTTCGCTATCTCTCGCCCTGACCCGTGCAAGGACAGTCGGATACAATTTGCACGCAGATCTCAGGACGCCCCAAGCCGCAGAGGGACCTGCCCCGCTTCCAGCCAGGCTCTCCCAGCACGAGCTCTGCATCCCCTCGGAAAAGAACCAGGACTCCGCTCCTGAACAACCTCAATCTCAAATAGGGCCCTGCCCTGTAAGGACAAAACAGCAGCTAAGGCTGGAGTGCAACATCTAATTGAATTTAGCTGAGACTTAAGAGTAAACAACATTAAAATCCCCTAGAATTGTGTTTCTCCTACCAATGACAACTCGGTGAAAAATCTCGCTTCTCCATCCTTAACACCACAAGTACATGCAAGTCTCAAAACGGCACAGGCGACTGCTGGGATTTTGGAGCTCAGTGATACGAACATGGTGCTGGATCCTCTCAGGACCATGACAGTTCACGAGAGCTGTCTGTTCACCAAGGACGGCATCCACCTCCCAGCTGCAGGCAGAGCCAGCAACTTCTCCTGCCACCTGGGTAGTGTGCAGAGCTTGGGGCACCCTTCTTCTTCCTTGTACCAAAGAGACGCTAAGGAGAAGGCAAAGGAAATAAGCACGAATAACACTCTGCCAAAAGATTTTTTTTTGTTTCAACCCAAGTCTGTGGAGAAGCAAGAGGGAAATTATCAGCGATTTTCCTTTTGTAGATGCACCATCTTAGGAAGTGCAATCTATTTAGACAGCAAGATGCAAGAAGCAGTTGATGCACAGGGATGAGAAGGATGCTAGAGCCATCTGCGAGGGGCACCACAGATCCCATGGGGACATTGAGACATGTATCATAAAACTCTGGCCACCAAATCCTGCAGCACCAAGATACATCTGTCCTTGGGCTGCCAGCTCTGCTGGTCAGGGGAGATCACGCATAGAGATGGATGGGTGAACGTTGTGTCCAGAGCGTGAAGAAAAGTATGAAGCCTGGCCTGCGTTAAGTGGAAGAACAGCAATCCCGTTGTCTGAGTACAGACAGGCAGGAGCAGGCAGGCTTTGTCCTTGACTGTCACAAGGCAAGTCCCCTCCATCTCCTCCAGCCATCGGGTTTGAGGCATTACTTTTCCATAATGAGTCCTTACTAAATCACAGCCCTGATCTTTCAGATCCTCACCCACACAAGCACTTCTGAGTCCTCAGGAAACCCCACATGAAGCATCTTCCCCACCTTCCCTAAGCCAGGACCCAGGGGTGATGCTTGAAGACGAGTTCAAGGTGGGAAGAGAACCTGAAAGGTCCCAAACTCCCAACAAGCTCAAACATATGCAGGCCCTTCTGTCTCTCTGCTTTGGGAGAGACAGGGTTAAAAACAAAAAAAAAAGTCACTTTGCTGAAGCTGTTTTTCTGAAATGAATCAAAAAAACAAAACCAAAACAATGGTGCTGCCATGTTCAGCTGCATTTGCACCATCTCCTCCCCCTGGACTGCGGGATCGCTCCAGGTGGGAGCACCTTCCCGGTGATTTCTCCTTGGGCTACCTCCCGTAACAGCAGAGGTATTCCAGGAATAGGAAAGGTAAGAGGTTGGGGCTTTTTATCCTGGAGATCCTAGCAAGATAATCACAACACACTCGGAACGTGCCCTTCCACAACACATGGTGGCTTTGCCAATCCTCAAATCATTTCTGTACTTGTAGGAACTGCAGAAGCTGCTGCCAAAAGCCATTTTAGATCAAAACCAAGAACTGGGAACATTGCATAAATGGATGCTTTTTTTTATTGTCAGGTCAGGCAGCACCACTCACACCTGGGCCTTCCCAGTCATAGCATTTGAGCATCATCAAGTAGGGGGTAAGGGATGCATCACTGAGATATTTCACAGGCACAACAGGTGCCCTCCCTTGTCTTTACTATAAAAGGCTTTTTCCGTGACATAGGAAGACAATAACTCTTCTTAACCGCTATTACAAGAAGATTAAAAATATAGATAAAGTCACTTCAAGGATGAGCATAGGTACTCATGAACACTTTGGCACACCTTCGGTATGATTTCAGATTTGGGGAACACAGCAGAGCCTTCCTACCCCAACATCTCACGCAGGGAGCCCTACAAACCCTTCCAGTACTTCTGTTTTGGGCACCTCTTATGATGCCCGAATACATCATCTGGCTGCTCAGAGCCTTGCACACCGTTTTCACACCACCGACCCACACCTCCCTCTTCAACTAGTGACAGCCAGTTAAAGCAGCAATACTGGGAGGCATCTCGGGGACCAGTACTCACTGGTTTGCTAATACTAAAGTACTGGCTCTGGAAATTATGCTCTCCAGACCCTCTGCAAAGACTGGTTTCACAAAGATACAAAACCCCCCTGGTACTCTGCAGGATTGGAGCCTAAAAAACAATTTCAGTTCATCATCTTGCTCCCTGGATGGTACAGCATATTCTGGCTGCTCAGCCCTCTTGGTCTACAAAGTCCACCCCAGCTTACTCTACGCTGTATGGGAAACAATACCTTTTCACTTGCCTTCACGGAGGAGATTGTCATTTAGGCAAAAAAAGAAAATCCACCACCTTGGCACTAAAACTCAGCATTTTTGCATTACAAGCAATCTAGCATCTCAAATAGCAGATAAGCAAGTTCTGTTTTGATGCAGAAGGGCTGTTTGAAAAGGCAGAGGAAATCAATGGGTAGAAATTGGCATTTTTGTAGCCTTAGAAACTTGGAAGAGTCTGGGGAACAGACAAACTATTGACTTCTCTGCATCATCTCAAGTGTACTTCTTTAATAAGATCCCATACGTTGTATAAACTCTACCATATGCGTGCAGAAGAAAAAAGATTTTCAGGGCCTTTTATAAATGAAACCTCCTTTGTGGCTAAAAAAAAAAAAGTATCATGCTAAAACTAAACTATTACAGCCACTGCAGCTGCACAAACAAATAAATGCTGTTTACCAGCAAAGGTATTTACTTACTGACAGTCAAGAAATGTTGGCTTGTAATAAAACGGTGGCATTTTAGATTCATATTTTGCTTTTGCTACATTGTTTCCATTCGAGGCCATAAACTGTAAACAGAGAAAAAACACAAAGAATTAAAAAATGTTAACGGTATTTTTCTTTGTCCTCTTTTGCTTCTACAGAGTAATAAAATTATTGGGATGGGGCCTCTGTTCACTTACTGAGAGTTTTCCCCAGGACCGTGCACAGAAGGGATGCTGCAGAGACTGTGCCTGCAAACCAGGGCTCAGAAATTAATATTGATTATTATTGCCAGGGCTCCCCCAGCTTAATACGGTGCTGGGGACAGGTCCGCATCGCAGTCACACATGCACGATCCCCACAGGAGCAGAAGGCAGCACGTGGTGGCATTTCCCGCTGGGAATGAGATGGCTCCCAGGGAATCCAGCACAGAAATTAGGTAACCAGAAGCCAAACCTGATGCCAACTTTAAGACCCCGTGTGTTACAGCTCCAGCAAGGTAATAGTCTTCAACAATATGCCCGTTGCTTTGGATCACATCACTCGTTCCAAAAGGATAATTTCACTTTTGCAAAGCCATGCCAGCAACCTCAGAAAGGAGTTTGAAGTATTGGATAAATAAATAAATAAAAATTCTATCTGCCCTGAGAGCCCTCCTTTCCTTCTGATCTCGTATACAAACAGCCAGTTGAGAACTCTGCAAACAAAACCACGTATTTCCCTATTCATAAATTCTATTTAATGAAAGTCATTTTGTAAGTGTAAAAACCCCACTCTTTTCCAGGTAGCCATGCTAAACACGTTTTGTCTTGTACCAAATGCCAAGCATACAAGCATAACAAGCAGCCAAGCTTTTTCTTTTTTTTTTGGATAAAGATCAATGACTGGTAGCGTTCTTCACGCCTTTAAAGACACCAATAGTCAAAGCAGATAGGTTTCCTCGGTAGGCTTGCCTTTAGCAACAGCACCCAAAACTAGGCAGGTATGTGGCATAAACAGAGAATTTGTACTGTGAGGGTTCAGTTCTTCAAGATGTGAGTATAAGAGTCTTCACTGCTAAGTGGAACAAAGCCAGAAATAGCTGAGCTGGGCAGGGGTGGTAGGCTAGAGATCTAGTCTACCGACTAGGCTAGACTAGAGGTAATGTAAAAAAACAGGAGAAGACAATTCATTTAAAATTAGTAATTTCTACACACTCTAGTTCATTGACTTTTTTATAGGGCTGGGGGAAACCCTCACAACGTCAAGAAATGGCTATTCCACTTTTCAATCAGCATCATGGACCTCATTTCCACATTCAGGAATTATCTAGATGTGTTTTCTGAAATCACATATTTTGTGGCATCTTTAGAAAGGACTCTGTTTTACAGCTTTGCTGGTAAAACGCAGCAACCCAAACTCACTGGTACTTCAAGTCTCAGATGCACGTACCTCCACTTGAGCATCATCCCAGTCATCCAGACGGACCGACTTCACTTTGCTGACTTGGGGAATATTACGATGGATTCCTGAACAATTCAAGCAGATGAAGATCCCTAGGCTGTGGGATGCCCAGTCTGGGTCTGAAAGCAAGAAGGAAAGAGAGAATTGCACTGGACCAGTCTATCAGATTCGGTGCAGGAGGAAGGAGAGACGAGGCAGGACAACGCATGGCATGGCAGGGGAGTTCGGGAGTCACCAGGTCCAAGTTCCCTGATTTTACAGACATCAAATAAATATACAATAAACTAGAGATATGTGCTAGTTTATATCGATAGCAATACAAATTAAACTAACAACAGATTTGCAATCTCAAGTGCAGCTGTTATTCATAAAAACCCAATATACAGACAATCGCATATGCCCAAGACCTCCAAAATGCTCCGCTCCACGCTCACAGGAAGAGAAAAGGTTAATGTCCATCTTTCACCAGCAAATCCCACCTAAGCGCTGCGTGGAACAGAAATTGCACAATTAAAACAAACAGCTCGGGGAAACCGCTATGCTGCTCCCTTGCCTTGCTATGTTTTATTTTATTTTATTTATTTTTTACAGTGGGAGCGCTCCACATAGAGTCTTTCCTCCCACAGCTACGGCTGCCCAGCAGCACAGCCCTCCATGCCAGGAGGTTTCCAGCTCTTGCCTTAATGGAAAAATGCTGCCAGCGGCAGCCCTGTACTTTCTCTGAGCAACACCACGCGCTGTTTACAGCCCAGAGCTGACGTCTCGCACAAAGCGCTTTAAACACAAGTCCCTCGCCTCCAAATTCCTCCTCGGGAGAGGCGCTGCCTGATGCATGGGGAGAAGGAGAGGAACCGGAGGAGGGCAGGGGCTGGGGGCAGGACACATCCACCAGTGTCCCTAGTGCTGCCTCCCTAATAAAGCCGATACAGGGATCTTTGTTTGAACTCCGACTGGCAAATGTCAGTGCCCGCTATTCCAGCTGCGCCCCAGCAGAAAGAGCTTCCTTGCAAGTCACCCAGTCAGCCACTAAATCCTCCACCTCCTCCCAGCGGAGGTCCCCTCGCCCCATCCTCCCCCAAACCCTCACCAGTGGGACCCCCCCGGCCACCCCACCGCATCGGGCTGTCAAGGGGTAAGGGCAAGTCTTCCCTTCTCACAAACCGTCGTCATTTGTTTACTCCCCCACAGTAATTACACTAAACATTCGCTCCTCACAGCGCAGCAATTATTTATAAAAAAGCAAGGGAATGTGCTTTCTCCTCCTTATACATATTTAATGGTCTGGCTATGGCAGTGCAGCGGGAGCAGGCTGGCGTGGGGCAACGAGCTCTGCTACCAGCCCCTGCCCGCGGGGACAGCCACCAACCTCCCCCAGCACACCCCAGGGAAGACAAATTCGGTTCCCCAGAGGTGGTGGTGTTCAGATATAAACCTAAGAGCTAAACGGGCAGCCTCATCGGACGCGGCTGGGTGCCCACCCAGGAGAGGGGAGAAAATTCCCAAGCTGTTACGAGTCCCGTCAACCGCAGCTCCCTTGGGACAAGGCTGGGACCAGCAGCTGCAAATAAAGGTGGGAAGTTTGGGGGTTTTTTTTTTTCCTGTTTCACATGGTCTCCCATCCTCATGCGAGGCCACGACAACCACAGCTCAGGCCTGGCAAATATCAAACCAGTCAAGTCGATCTAAGCGCACCACAGCAGCAACCCTGTGCTGCCCACATCCAGCCGTGCCCGTGAGGACACGGGGTGCTCTGCCCCACCAGCCCCGACCCCCCCACCCTCACCCCACTCCAGGTGACTCGGCTTCACGCTACACCCGAGGTCAGGCACCCCCACGTATTCCGATCGCAAAGATTGCTGCCAGTTATCGGGTTAGAGGGTGGCAAGAATCAAGAATTTTGCACGCTCGCGCACATTTCAGTGCTTTAACTCCTCGTGTTGTCCTCTCCCATCTCCAAACACGTGGCCGTCATCAAAGCCTGGGACCTGCCAAACTTCCTACCACAAAAATAGTCCAAGGTGCAGCACTGCTGGCCCAGGGTAGCCCAGGACCACGAGGCCAAACGATGCGAGTCGGGCAAGGTGAAAGCATCAGGGTCTCTTGTTGAAAAACCCATCTCTGACTTCCACGCAGAGGACCAGGCACAAGGAAGGGCGAGAGGGTCCGGAGGACAGGGCGGCCACAGAGAAGTGGCAGCAGTGAGGAAGAGGAAGCCGTGGCAGTGAAGTCTGGAGTCGTGAGCTGATGTGGCCACCAGCTCCCCGCGCTTCAAGCCTTCCTGGTGTAATGAGATCTGAACAAAGCAGTGCCCGACTCAGGGAAATGGCTACCAAAGTATGCATGGGCCTTCACAGGTTTTATTGGGAGCCCCGACGCTTGTTTTGTGTTAACAGATTTATCTTAGGCACGCAGGTGGATTTTTTTGTATTGCCTGCAGCTTCCTAGACTCAGGTTTCCAAAGTCCCCTTGGAGAAGTAACCCCTCCGCTGCCCGCACTGCTGTGTGCAACAGGACCAGGAGACATCACACCTTCCTCCAGCCAGGGATGAGGACACATTTGGTGGAGGAACATCCTGCAAGAAGATCCTCAGGCTCAGACAGAGGAGACTCCAACTGCAGCAGACACCAAGCCAACTCAAACCCAAGCCGTCTCTTCTTGACGTGGGTAAACAGACCCTCAAGCAATGAGTTTCAATCACAGCTGGGGCTTTCAAGCATTCTCCTCGCACAAACAGTTTCTTCTTTAGACAAGACTTTTAAACATTCTTCCCCCCTGCTCCACGCCATGTCAACCCATGTCTAATAAAGAAAGCAAAAGCTGGACTATATCATAGAATCACATACACAGGGTCACACGTGCATGGTTTCCAGCAGATGACAGTACTTCAGAGGAGCACACAGAGATGATGGGGTCAGTGGTGACCCAACCCTTGGAAGGGATGCTCTCAACTTGTTCAATAAAACCACATCTGTAAGCTGTCTCCTCCTGGTCATCTTCCTTTCGGTGTTTCCTCTCTTGCCTAGACCCAAGCTCCATGTCCATCCAACACCAAGAGCATCCCACAGAGCAAACTTCGAGGAACACCATGACGGAGCTGCACATTTCACTTGACTCACCAGACCTGATACTAGCAGCTTGCATTGCTGCCATATATTAATAGCAACTTCCTCTTCATTGCTCTTCTCGTTTTAAAAATGCATATCTCTTAAATTCAAAATCATGCGGCAAGGGTGGATGGAAGAGGTGTAGACACTCAGCTGGTTGTGTGCTGCTTTCCTGTGACAGCCACAGCCCAGAACTACACAAATTTGGCAACCGGTTTTAGTGCCAAAGGGAACACCAGGCAGGAGGAGAGTTCAAAGGCCTCAGGCACTGAGTGAGCCCCATCCAAAAAATTGCTTAGTAGCAAAATCCCCCAGAACCAACCAATCTACCAGTGGAAGTCTTCTTAAATGTCACTGTTACAATAATTTATTAGAGATGTCTCATGGCACTTGCTCTCCTGGCTGAAGACATCTGACTGAGAAAACAAGCCAGCCCAGGCCTCTCCTGGACTTTAGCTGAGAGCCAAAAGGAGTTTCTAAGCATCATCTGAACGAGCCAGAGGGTTACGGACCCACGCGAGCCCCCGGGCTGGTGCAACCCTGCGACACCCCGTGCCACCCCTCTGCCCGTGGACAAGAAGGAGGAGGGTGGAGGATTCGCTGACTCCGTCTTCTGGAGGGCTCTGCCAACGCCACTACCCCTTCTCACCCGCTCCCTGTACTTGTGGCACCATTTTCGAAGAAACCTAGCTATGAGACCACTACTCCCACACATCTTCTGCAGGAACTGGTGACAGATCCCCAGGCAGATGGCTGCCAGCCGGGGCGAGCACCCGCTTCTGCGGGGATGCTTTTCCAAAGCCCTTTTGTAAGGTTTGGGGCTGTCGGTGGCTTCGGCGCTCCCCCAGCACATCACGGTCCCTCTCTCTTCATTTCTGCTCTCCAGCACAAGCGACATGGAAAATTCTCAGCTCAGGAACATGGCAGATTGTCGGCGATCGCCGACATCGGCATAATCACAGACTCCAACCCTTCAAATGACCACGCCATTGCTTCAAGATAAGACAATATCTTATCAAGCATGCAAATAAATTCACATAAGCATCTTCATACAAGACAAGTGAGTTTTAGGGAAGCATCATTAATTTAAGGAACCAGTGACCCCAGGCTGTACGGCTGGCAAGCTGAGGTCTCCATAGCTAGATGAAGTCCACCTTGCTGCCAGACACTTCAACAGCTGGAACACGTTCTCCATGCTGGACATTATTGGGGAGTTCAGTAATTTTATTTAAGCCATTTTGTCTGGGCAAGGCCCAAAAAAGTGCACTGAAATGGCAATATATCATAATCTGGACCTTTTGGGCACTGCCCCAAAATGATGATTTTTCTTTTTCCTAAGCCTCCAGAGTTTCAAGCAAACAGCAGTGAAGCTTAATGAAAACTCTCCGGCATGCCTAAGTTCCACACAAATTACTTTCTTCCATTATTTCAAGCCAAAAGGAATAAAGACTAACAAGGAGCAAGGGGAATATTAAATCAAATACAGTGTTGTAAGTGCAGAAAGTCTCTTACTGTGCAGCATCATTGCTCCAGAACAACCGATGTCAGCTCTATGCGGCTTTCACTGCTCAATGTGGTAGAGATTTCTGGTCACTTATAAACAGATTATAACAACTTTCAAAATAAAAACTTGATGCAACTTCATTTTAAAAATTAAATAAATAACCAAAGCTAAACTAAACTCAGGAGAAGGGTATTTGGGTGGTATTTTCCCATCTCCTTCATCTGAAAGGGAAGGCACAGCCAGAGATTACAGAAGCATCCAGAGCAAAACTAAAACACTTGGGCAACACAGCTAAATTCAGAAATTAACTTCCCCACCCAGCCCCTTTTGCCACCATGAGCCCTAGGAAAAGCCAGTGCAGAGAACAATGAATTCTGCAGCTTGAACCCAATGTTACTGAGCATAAGAACAGCCCATGGAGGGAAAAACTGGACCCTGAAAAATAATAAACAAGAAGAAACAACATAAGACATAGGACATTTCATACAGACCAAAAGGAGAGTAGAGAAG